GTTTAGACATCAACTCCTGAGGACTTTCCACATGGAGGAGGGTCACCTGAGGAGGAATGAGAGTGACTGAAATGCATCTTTAATAAAAAATAAATAAAAATCTTAGGCTACAGTATGTAGTAAGCTGTGCCAAGTTTCTTAAAATATGCTTAAAGTGGTTCAACTTATGGTCAGTTTAATAGGTTATTTTACACAATATTGTCATTAACTTGTATTGTAATGTAGTTTTATAATATATTTACTTTTTTATCTCTTCAAGTTGTTTGAAATGTGCTTTATGAATAAAGTTTAAAATGACTGGAGTTGACCAAACAAACAAACAAACAAACAAAATTTGTCCACAGTGTTTTGTCTAGATACAGTAGTACATGACAATAAAAATAACATTTTGTACAAAATTACAGAAGATCTTTTTTGTGCGTGTTAAATAGAGTAGTACCTTGTCAGCAGCTATGTTGTCCTCCACGATGGTTGAGACCTTGTAAATGTCAGAGTCGGTGGTGTAAACCATCAGTCCTCCTGACAGGGAGGACAGCGAGGAGTAGAGGGAGAAAAGATCAGGGGACAGAAGTTCCTTACTCCTCCTCTTCCTCTTCCCTGTGGTGTGGCTGGGGTCTTCAGTGAGGAGAAATGTTATCTGTTGAAGGACAAAACACTTGTAAAAACTAGTCTGGCTGCAGTCTGTTTGCTGTTTCAGATGTGCTGATTGCAAGACAAAGTTGACAAAACTTGCAGAAAATCTGAAAGAAATAACTCTCAGATTCCATTATTAATTGTTTTTGTTGAAAAAAAAGTTTTTTCTCCAAGAGACTTCTTCAGTCTGAGGAGCTGCAGGTAAACTCAGCCATATATTAGTACTTTCACATGGTCGATCAATAAGTTTAATGGTTGTTGCAGTAATCTGTATTTAACAAGGACAGAAATACGTGGTCCGAAAATGAAAGTACTTCGTTAAATGGTCATCTAAGTTTAATTTGCGATTGCAAGTATGTAAGGACTGCAAAGCTCTGTGTAAGGAGAATTTGTGCACTGAGGCAGTCCTTGAGACTTTACACTGCTGACATCTGAGTGTTGTCCAAAACAGACAATAACACCTCTCTTGGCGCTGATGTTGGGCCAAGGAGAACATGACATTTGACAAAGTATCCNTCTCTACATGGTGCCTTACCTGATGGACTGGTGAGGATACACTCGGTCATGGAGCCGGTGACGTGTAAAATGATGTTTTTCACTGAGCTGTCCACTCTGAAGGAATGTTTAGACATCAACTCCTGAGGACTTTCCACATGGAGGAGGGTCACCTGAGGAGGAATGAGAGTGACTGAAATGCATCTTTAATAAAAAATAAATAAAAATCTTAGGCTACAGTATGTAGTAAGCTGTGCCAAGTTTCTTAAAATA